TTTTTCATTCATTTATTTATTTATTTATTTATTTATTTATTTATTTATTTATTTATTTATTTAACGCTACAATCAAGAACAAGTGTTTAAATGTGCATGTTGACAATTGTCCAGACTCTCTCCCGACTAGACAAAATTTTAAAATGTGTTGGAATTGAATTATGAGACAGCTAGTAAGAGGGGCTGGGTATGTCACGCATTGCTTGTCTGAATTTGGAATGTTTCCCGTCACTGTTTGATCAATTTGTTTCACCCGCTGGTGGAAATTGGAAAAACGTTTTCGAAAGAATATTGGTGGTAGAGATTCTTTCGCTACCTTTTGGGCCACGACTCCTGCCTGTTGGATTTTATTTTGCCAGGGTCTCTTGTATAAAGAGGTGGAAAATATGAGACTTGAATAGGCACAAGGTGGAAAAATAAACGCAGAGAACTTTCTATGGCCGTGTAATGGAGAAAATCTCAGTGTTGAAAACACTTTTGAATCTCTATTCGAGAAGTTTACCGCCGAAAGAGGAATAGCTGGACCCTTTCACCAAAGAACGCATTGAAATTTGGTCGCGTTTAAATTTCAAAAAGCAGTCCTCTGGTGTAATTCTCCAAAATGACAGTCTGGTATAACCCTTCGTGCAATTGATAATAAACCTCTTTCCTTTAAAAACTGGTATAGGGTAGGAATTCATCTTGGAAACGACCTACTTGACGAAAATTTCTTAACTGTTGATGCCTTTCATGAAAAATAAGGTGTCAAGACTAATTTCCTCCAGTACCAAAAAGTTGTGAGTGCGGTCTCCAAAATAAAATTAATTTGTACTTGCACTCGGGCAGAGACGAATATACGATCTTTGCAAGTTAGCCTATAATATGCTTGTCAAGCAAATTGCTTCCATTCCGCATAAAAGTCAAAGCAAATGGCTCTCAGACTGCAATTCTCCGCAATCCGTGAACCATATAGATTGGCGAATCCAACCTTCCACCGTCATAGAAGAATAGCAACAAACGGCTGTTTATTCGAAATGGCTATCACATCTCACAACCTATGCAGTTTCTGTAAAGAACGCCTGGAAAACTATTTTCATCTGTTCTGGGAATGCACTTTTGTTAAAACCTTGAATGGGATTAGACCGTACGTGTATGAGCAACAAGCCCTGTTTTGCTAATGATGTTTTCTATTTTCAATCCCGCCTAGGATTTTTCGAAAACACTATATTTTGTCCCACACCTTTCTTATCTGCAGATACCACATCTACTGTCCAAATCAATGCGCCTTTTCCCCTCACAAGCTCTTTGTATACAAAACTTTCTGACCAGCTTAGAAGTGAAATGATGTTATGCTCTTCAAAATAGATATTTAGAGAAAAGTAAAGGAAAAGTGGGAGCTAGCTTTTTTACGACTAAAAAAAAAACATTGAATTGAAAAAAAATGTCAGATATATTCTTCCTCCTTAAGGTGTGGGGAGAGCAACAAGACCACAAATAACATCATCTTTAAATATTTCTCCGGAAAATTATTTGAATTAACGTAAAAAAGCTACTTTTTTACTTAAAGACAAAATGTAAGGCCGCCAAGGGTTAATGAATGTATTTTACGTGTATGTATAGGGACTGTGTAATAATTACAGTTACAGCGTACTTGAAATATTCCCGAATTCACCACTCGCTTTTTTTCCTTTTTTGTTTTATTAAAAAACAACAAAACACTGTTGAAACTACTTACAATGCAAACTACTACAAGCCAACGGACAAATGGGTTTCTATCATTACAGACAACATTTCCATTTAACATAATCGATGTTAATACTAATAGTACACCGCTTACAATCCATGCAACGCTTTTTTCCCCTTTTTATTGCACAAACCCAAAAAATAATTTACTAGCGCATTAATAACCTTAGTACTAAAAAATAACGCACACACACAACTAACAATAAAAAACTAACGCTACAGAATTACATTACATTGCTCAAGCTGTTAGGCTACACTATACGGAAGAAAAAAATGACAACGTTGAGTACAGAAACTCGAAATAAATAGGAAATCATTGTATCAGGCATTCTAACATTTGTACAAAAAAGTAGAAAAGTAGAAAAGTAGAAAAGGAAAAAACTTCACACATCGTGCAGAGAGTGGTTAATACTGAAGCTTGAT